CAGTTTGAAAACTTCTATCTGGCAAGTGGGAGACACTGACATTCAAGGAATGGACAGATGAAAGGAACCTAGGAGATGAAAAACAGCTGGTGCCAGCAACCAGCCCAGCCTTCAACCTAGTATACTACTAAAGAAATTGTCTTTCTAAGCTTTCTTGATTTTCTAGGGTGTTACTGCATTCATATTTCCTCCCTGATAAAACATTAGTTAGAATGCTTGTTAATTTCCCAGTGGCTAGAGATTCTAAAATTTAAGTTTGTATGATTATTTGTTAAATGGTGCTATTAGAGGATTTGACTTGAATAATAGTTGCTTATTTCAATTTGTTAAAACTTTTTGTGGTTCCGTATAGAATACTTTTGTATTTTATATAGGTGTAAAATTCAGCATGTATTCTTATGTCTTTTTTTTTTTTTTTAAGTTTTCACTTTTAAAAAAAATATTTCATTGATTTTTTTACAGAGAGGAAGGGAGAGGGATAGAGTTAGAAACATTGATCAGCTGCCTCCTTCACACCTCCAACTGGGGATGTGCCTGCAAACAAGGCACATGCCCTTGACTGAAATTGAACCTGGGACCTTTCAGTTTGCAGGCCGATGCTCTATCCACTGAGCCAAACCGGTTTCAGCAATAAAACATTTTTTTTTTAAGTACAAATTGGTAGTTACAGAATAGTCATGGGGATTAGGTAAAACACAGGGACTATTGTCAATAGTATTGCAATAACTATGTATGGCATCAGTTGGGATACTGGAAATACCAAGGTATGTGATTATCTAACCACCTTGCATACACCTGAAACCAATACAGAATAAAGTTTTAAAAAAGCCAAGTAGAATAAAATGTACAAGGAGATATACGTACGTGGTAAATCTATACAGAAGTCATCTCTAAAGAGGATGCAGATGGCGAACACTATGGGCAAGACGATGTTTTGAGTTGGTTGGTGGGCAGTAATTACTATGCCTCCTATCTGATCTCAGACATTGATGCTCAATGTATTTATGTCAAATCCTTCATATTTTAAAAGTGGAAGACCCAGCCCAGATGTGCTATGCTGTTGGGATCAGAAATGGAGAAATGGGCCGAGACCGGTTTGGCTCAATGGATAGAGCATCGGCCTGCGGACTGAAAGGTCCCAGGTTCGATTCCAGTCAAGGGCATGTACCTTGGTTGCGGGTACATCCCCAGTGGGGGGTGTGCAGGAGGCAGCTGATGGATGATTCTCTAGCATCAATGTTTCTAACTCTCTCTTCCTCTCTGTAAAAAATAAAAAATTATATATATATATATATATATATATATATATATATATATATGATTAAAAAAAAATTTTTTTTTAAAGAAAAGAATGGAGAAATGGATGGCAGGAGGCAGGAGTGGGGCTGCGGCTGAAGGCCAGGAGAGGCCACTGGGAAAGGGGAACTACGTTCTCTGAGAACCAGGTTCATGAGTTGAGGCTTCAATTCTCAACCATGATGCTACAGACACTGAATGTACCAAATCGCAGCCAATGAAATACATCCATACAGCTTTGACTCTAAAGTACATAGCTCTTGCCAATATATTTCATCTGTCTCATCTCCACCGACTATACTTTGTTTTGGTCGCTCTGGGGAAAAGGTGCCTTTCAGGAAATTATTTTTCAACTATATTGCTAAACACTTACCGTGCTTATTTGGTTATTTTGTTCCATACCCAAATCCACATCTTTTTTTTTTTTTTAATATATTTTATTGATTTTTTACAGAGAAGAAAGGAGAGGGATAGAGGTTAGAAACATCGATGAAAGAGAGAAATCGATCAGCTGCCTCCTGCACACCTCCTACTGGGGATGTGCCCGCAACCACGGTACATGCCCTTGATCGGAATCGAACCTGGGACCTTTTAAGTCCACAGGCCGACGCTCTATCCACTGAGCCAAACCAGTCTTGGCCGAAACCACATCTTGATTTTCTCTCTTTTCCAAGTTTTGTCATGTTGTCGTATTGCTTTTATAATTTTAGGAAGGAGGTGGGGGAGGGGGGGCAGGGAAGAGGAGAAGAGGAAGGAGGAGGACCCTCCCTGCCACAGCCAGAATGCTAACAGTGGTCTGAGGAGGGGCCCGCCTGTGGTGGGCTGTGGCAGAGCCTCATCCAGACTTGACCTCCGGTGCAGCTTTGTCTCCTTGCTGGCAGAGAACCCGGCTAATGTTCTGGCCCTCAGGGGTCACTCGGTCCCTGCTTGCAGTGTGCCCAGTCCTTCAGGCCCAGCGGCCTCAGAGAGAACTCTCTCCTGGGCTCCAGGCTCTGTGGCGGTGGCGGAGGGGGGAGTGCGGAACCACCATCTGGCTCTAGTGATGAGGTTCAGACACATGAGGCGACTCATTAGGGAACAATCAAGACAGCATATACTTAAGACCGAGGATCTGCTTGGCAGATTCTGCGGGAGCTCTGAAGGAGGCGGAGGGGGCGAGGGAGGCAGAAGGCAGATGGGTGAGTAGGTGGGGCTGGGGGAGGGGCAGGGCTTGGTTGGAAGCCCCAGCCGCGCACACCCCCCCCCCCCCCCCCCCGCAAATGATAGGATGGAGAGATCATGCTGTCTCCCTTGCAGTGTGGTCTGGAGGGCGGAAGACTGATGCCCAGGCTGCCTGGAGCAGGAGGGGGTGGCTAAAAGCACTCAGGAGGGACTGGGGAAGGACTATGGGAATGAGGCTAACCAGACCTGAAAGTGGGCAAGGGGGAGGGTCCCACAGGCAAGGAGAGGGCAGAGGCTTGGTGTCTGGGGCTGACAGGGAGGGAGCAACACAGCAACCCATGGCTAGCTGGCCCCAACCAGCCTGAAGGTACACGCTACCCCACCCTATGTTTTGGGGAGAAGTTCGGGCAGCATTCGGGGCCCTGGCTCAGCAGCTTCTGCAGAGAGTGTTTTGGATGCGGACCATGTTCCCTAGGGGTCTGAATTCAGCCAGGAGCTCAAGGAAGAACCGCCCATTGGGCCATGGACCTGCTCTCTCTCCCAGGTGGGTGTTGTGCAGGCAGGGTCTCCATCCCCTGTAGCCCAGGGACACCAAGGACTCCTGCGGGCTCCCCAGAGGCCTCCATCTCTCCTGCCACCCCTGCACAGGCCCACAGTGAATGAGACTTCCTGCTGCTGGCGAGGGTGGGCTGGGAGCCCAGGGGTGTGAACCAGGCCGGGCAGGATAGCTGCAGAGGCAGGGCTGCCTCCAGAATCCAACTGCTCCCCTTCCAAGGAGACTTGTAGATGGTCCCCATTCACCCCAGGAGCTTCCGAACACCCGGACTCCTAGGGGAACCAGGAATTCAGAGGTGCGAGAAGGCAGAATTCAGGACTCGACGCAGGTTTCAGACTCGTGGTTTATTGACACTTGAGCACAACAGCCCTGGGAGAGGAGACGGCCTTTCTGGCCTCCCACCTGGGGCTTGTCCCTACAGTCAGGTCAGGGCAAACAGAGATCCTGTCTTGGAACAACCCCCCGCCCTCCGCCACAGAACCTCACTGAAATGTGCACAGATAAATCCTTGGCAAGGCTGGCACAGCACGTGAATGGCAAAGCTCAGCGAATTTGGCAAAGTTGTGGAGCCTTGGAAAAGGCCCCCAGGCAGCTGCCCCTTTGGGCTACAGGCAGAATCAAACCCAGTGGCTCATTTTGCACAAACCCACCCAGTTTCCGTGTAGCTGGCGCGGGAGCCGGGCCAAGGAGCTGTCGGAACTGTGCCCTGGCCCTGGAATACTGCTGAGGTAGCGGTGGGAGGGGGCGAGGCCAGGGGCTGCGTGTGGGCCGGGGAGGACAGGAGACAGGGCCATGGCCAAAGGCAGGGGGCGGCCAACAGCCGACCGGGTACCTCAGGGAGCACCCCGTTGCTCTCTCCCTAAAACACCCCCGTTTCCAGGCCCTGGATGCTGAGCACAGGCTGGGCCAGGAGGCTCTGCAGTTGCCCCAGGGTTTCAGCGGGTCGGGAGTTTGACCAGCCGCTCTGGGGAGCCCAACTGTCCTGCCTCTCTCCCAGCCCCCCTCCCCCCCAGCTGCCTGCCTCGCCCACCCCTGCTGGCTCCGGATCAGCTCTACCTGTAAAAGCAAGGCTGGAAAGCTCCAGCTTTTGTATTCCTTATAAGGCGCTGGCATGGGGAGCTCAATTCTTTTCCAACCCACTTCATTTTAAGAATAGACACTAGAACTTATTCACCCCCTCCCTGCTGGCGGTGGGGGAAGGGCCCTCGGCGCTGGCAGCATCTCTCCAGGACGTGCTGGGTTCACCCAAGTACCCCCTGCACCTCCACATCACAATTCCCGGAGCTGCTGCAGACTCCGTGCAACCCTGTGCCCTACAAAGGGGAAACTGAGTCCCAGGGAAATGCAACGACCTGCTCAGCTTGCATGAGCAATAAGCTAGTGGCAAAGCTGGGACCTGAAGAGGGACCACGGTTTTCAGACCAGTGTCTCAGCTGGGGGCCCTCGTGGGACTGTGTCCTGAAGAGGAAGTGGACCGGGATGCTCGGTGGCTGAAGATGCCCAGTGGCTCCCAGTGCAGCCCCGTCAGGATGGAAAAGACCTGCTCTGTGCCTAGGCGCTTGCACAGGCCAGCCCCCGGGCAGCAGGGTAAGAGGACTCCCCGGACTAACAGCTCAGGGCCTCCGCTGGGGGTGAGGGGGTGGATTCCAACAGTCTGGCTCCGGTCAGAGAGGTGCCAGGACAAGCCTGGAGTTAATGCCCTGGTGGAGCCTCAGATCGGGGCACAAATCAGGCCACCAAGTGGTGGAATCCAGACTCCACGCACTGAAGCTCCTCTCTTGGCAGCAATCAACGGAGTAGGATGAGCAAAGATGAGAAAAACAAGCCCATTGCTCCCTCCCTCCATGAGGGTCATGCCCTCAGGAGGCCAAGCTGGTAGGGAAGGGTGGGGCCACATCCAGCCTGCCAGCCTCGGGCTGGGAGGGGCCGACGGGGAGGCTTCTGGCCCCCAGAAGGCAGCGGGCCTTCAAGTTAAATGGGGTAACACATGGTCACATTGGCTGCCAAACATTCTCTGAATTGCAGCGATCACGTTGAAGATGCTTTTTATCATGAGGCCCTGAGCAAGGCACTGACTATGTGGCTCAGCATCTTCATCCCCCCTGGCTCCTTCCCTACCTGTTGGATGGACCAACGGCCTCTCCCTGCAACATCTTCTCATCGTCCCGCCACTTCCCCGGGCCTCCGCTCAGTGCCTCTGGGGTCAGGGGGCTCCCCAGGCAGAGCCTCCTGGGGCTCTGCAGCTGTGGAGGGCTCAGAATGCCTCCACGGGACTCCTGGCCCTGGGGACCCGGCACCAAGCTTCCTCCCACGGCCCAGCCCTCCGGCCACCTTCCGTTGAAGCCTCAGCTAAACAACTCACTGCCCTTCCCAGACTTGCCAGCCTCCTGCCTGCAGCAGCCCCGCCCACCCTGCAAGCCAGGTCCTCCCACTGGACACCCGTCTCCCCCAGGCCTGACCTCTGCCTGGAGCCCTCGCCCAGCCCGGCCACCTTAATCCTCACAGCAGCTCTAGCGCCCACTTGACGTGAGCAAACAAGGTCACCTGAGCTTCACCTCCCCAGGGCCGCCGGGGGCCAGACAGCCCTCCCACAGGCAGTGAGGGCAGCAGAGGCTGCCAGCTCTTGGCAGGAAGAGGGGCACCCGTCGGGCGGGCTCCCAGCCACATGCCTGCTGCCTTCACACAGACCCACAGGCTACACCAGACTTGCCAGAGCCTCTGAGAATGTGTTTCCAAATGAGACCAACCCAACTACCAACGCACAAGAAAGACATTCTGGAACATTCCAAACAGCAGCAAGGGCGCGCCTGCCCGCTCACAGTGCTCAGGCCCTCAGCTTAGGGTCCGGCCAGATGCCAAGTGGCAGAACCAAGGAAGGTGGGGTTCAGGCTCTGGGGCCCCGAGTCCGGCCCGGGCCCCCCGAACAGCCCGTGCTCTTGGGAACCACCTTGCTGCCTGCCTGTCAGCGGCACATCTCAGCGAGGCAGAAAGAACTCTTCTGGGAGAATTCCGGACTAAACCACCCTCTGTAACAAAGTAAATCCTTCTCACAGAAACTCAAACACGCCTTCTGGAACTCATCACAGGCCCGGCAGCTCTAGCCTTCCCTAAAACCGTGTAAGGCACTTGAATGGCTTATTAACACTACCTGGAATGGTTTATTTCAATCTTGATTTAAGAAAAAAATTCAGTAATACTGCAAAAGAAGGTTACCCTAAAAAAAAAAAAAAAACACACAAAACCAACAACAACCAATACGTAAGTTTCTAAGGATTAAAATAAATGCTAAGCTCCGCTTAGGTTATTTGACACAACAGGTCACTTTGGCACTGACAGAACAGAGAGAAAAACTGAAATACTGCTTCTGAATTAGGCTTTTCTCTGGAAAACAACAACACACAAGACAAGTGCAGCATCTCTGAGCTTCCCCTTCCCCTCCGAGGGATGAGCGAGACCAGTGAGGCCGGGGCCCCACATGTCCCGGCTGCCTTGACGCAGGCGGGCGGCCACTGCAGACGCAATCCTAGACCCTCTCGCGTTGGGGAAGCGAGCTCGGCCAGCTGAGCGCAGCCAGGTGCGTCTGCCGCCATGAACCCTCCCAGCTGAGGCCTGTGAGGAACGGAGGGAAGAAACCTGCGCTGGGCGCCCAGGACGCGTCTGCAGATACCCACGGCTCTGGGTCCCCCACAGCGCGTCACTGCCCCCACACATGCCGGTGTCTTTGGTCCGGCCACAGCCAGTGACCGTGGCCTCCGATTCCACCCCCACCCCGTGGGGATCAAGAGCCAATCCAGTCCCAGGTCATCGTCTCCTTGGCAAGGCTTCCTCCGTCGCACTGCCTGTCACGAGCAAGGCGCGATGCAATCGGTCCCACAGCCATCAGGAGGGACCGATGCAAGCAGCACGGGGCTCGGGGGTCCCAGGGAAAAGCACTGCTTGGGTGGTGCCGCCTGCCCACCCCTGCCTATTGGGTCCTTGGGCACCGGAGGGCAAGAGTCAGAGGGGGGGACCACCGGGGCCCTGGGCCTCTTAGCTTCTCCACGGGGTGTTGTTCTCTGGCTCCGAGAGGGCAGAGGGCACGTCCTGGCTTCTCCCGTCAGCCTGGGACTCCCCGGCCCCCTGGGCACACCCCTCCAGCAGGTCTCGGGGGTCCCTGAGGAAGACCACCATGACCGTGATGTTGTCGTGGGAGCCCCGCTCCCTGGCTGCGGCCACCAGCTCCTCGGCGACATGCAGCCCGCTGCCCTGCTGCCTGGCCAGGTGGCTGTGCACCAGGCCGGCCACCTCCTGGGGGGAGACCACGTCAAAGAAGCCGTCACAAGCCAGCAGCAGGTAGTCCTCGGAGCCGGTCAGCTCCCGGGAGGCCACGTCGGCCTCTCCGGACACATAGGGCTTCTGGAGGACATCCCCTGGGCGTGGGAGAGAAGTGCCGGAGTCAGAAGCTGTCCATCTGGCCAGGCCTGGCCGCTGTGGCCTCCCCTCCTCCAATGCCCGCTCACAGGCAAGGCCTGGGTGAAAAGATAACTTCCCATGGAGGGGATGTAACAGGTTATTCTGGTGTTCCTGAGGGAAGGGCCAGAACCCAGCAGGGCCAGAGTGCAGCTCCAACACAGCTTTGTCACTCCGGGGAGCGGGGCCCAGAGGGAGTGGCCCTGGCCCTCCTGAGCTCCTGACGGCTCCGGCTCCCGTCAGACACCGGACAGGCACTCAGCTGAGCTCGCTCTTCCTCCCCCACACCTGCTCTTCCAGTCTCCTCAGCGTGGAAAACAGCACCAGAATCTGAGGGTTCCCTCTGATTCTCACACCCCACATCTAATCTGTTAGCAGGCCCTACTGGCTTTACCTCCAAAACGCAGCTCCAACCCCCCCCCCCACCCCGGCCCCTCCTGGTTGGGACAGCTCACACCCTCCCAGCCCCTCAGGGCTTCCTGCCGGCCCCTCTCCTGCTCTTGGCTGACAGTCTCACTGGACTGTCTCCTTTGCCCAAGGAGCGTGGACTAGACCCCGTCATCCCTTATGCCCAGCTCCCCTCTCCTTGGGAGGGAGCCTGGCCCCTCAGCTGCCACGGAGGCCTGCCCCGCCTCCCTGCCCTCGTGTGTCCAGAGACACGTTTGGCAAGAGGGGGGCGTTCGGGAGGCCGGAGGGACCGGTGTCCCATCAAGGGGTTAGCGGGATTTTGAAGAAGAGACATGGCTGCCGAGCCCAGAGTGAGGCCCGGCAGAGGCAGGCTGCTGAGAAAATAGAATGAGGTGGGCGGGGAAGCTTGTACTTCAGATTTTAAGACAGAAAAAAGGAATCATCAGCATGAATGGGGGGGAAGAGGGATAAATCTCACTTAGGGAACGTTTAATACTTATCACCCTGCTAACGAAGGGGAGCAAGGCCTACATCTTTCTGAGGAAAGTGTTTCAACAAAGAGATAATGACATGTAACTTGAACCGCAGTTCTCCGCGCAAGGTGTCTGACAGTCACTCTCCAATCAGCCTTACTAAAGGCAGGTACCTTTCCAGCACATGACACTGCCGTCCCTAGCAGCTGGGCCCTGAGGCCTGGCCCTGGGCAGCCTCTGTCTCGCCCCTCGTCTCCTTACCGATGGCCCTGGAGACGGCCAGGGTCCCGTTGACTCGCCAGCAGTCCACGTACGACACGAAGCCGCCCAACGCTTCGATGCGCTCCTTCTCGTCCTGCAGAAGACAGTCAGAGTGGGGCCTCGGCGCTCCCATGGGCAGGGCAGCGGGCACTGCCAGCCAGGAGGAGCTGAGCTGGCTTCTAAGGCAGCGCTGGGAGCCACAGCTCCTCAAAGATGCCCCTAGGAGGCATCAGTAACACAGTGAGGAATTATAAATACCTCATCGTCCTCCAGATGCAGAAATGGCTAAATAGGTTGTGGTGCAAATACAGACGGGCCACTCACAGCCACCGACCCACAGGCTGTCCCCGAGCCAGGGAGATGCTCACGAGGCGACAGAAAGAGCGCGAGCCGCAGGGTCAGACGGCAGGCCCCTCCGCCAGGACACTGTCCCTTCCCCGTAAGCCGCTGGGAGGACACCAAGCGTGTGTGACAGGCGGCCATTTGGCAGGGCTGAGTGAAACCTGAGCCAGGCCCTGGAAAGCCCTGTGGCCCTGTGGCCCTGGGTCCTCATCCTTCTCCTCCACCCACAGGCCCTGTCCGGCTCCCCAGAGGACTGCGGTGCTCCAGGCCAGAGAGGACAAACAGGCCCGGTCCAGCCATGAGTCCTAAAACGTCTTTGGTTCTGTACATTCCCCTGGAAGGAGGCTTCCAGACCTGAGCCTATGGCCTGAAGGTGGTGACACCAGTGTCTGCTCTTTGATGATGAGCCTGAGGCTTGGAAGGGGTGGAGCCAGGCCCAAGCATGGACATCTGTCCTTGCTCTTTGCATGGTCAGCTCTACTGAGCTCAGGCAGTGTTTGGGAAATGCTGCCTGCAAAAAGTACGCAGGGGCTCAGAGGAGGTGCTAACCATAGAGTTTACGTGGGTGCAGAACCGGGACCTCAAGCACAGGTTTGTATCTAGACCTAACTTGGGCCTCATGTCACCTGGCTGCTTGTCTGGATAGGAGGGTCCACCGGAGAGCAGACTTTGGAGGCTCCGGAGTGACAGAGAATGCCTGCCCTTTCCTGGCTGTGCGCTTTGGGCAAGTTACTTAACCTCTCTGGGCTTCAGTTCCCTCTATACAATGGGGAGGGCATATGTAGGCTGCTGAGCACAGGCTGTGAGGCTAAGGAACGCTGTCATTCCTGGCTGTTATGCAATGTTTTCTAAAAGCCACAAAAGAAAAGACAGTTCCACACAATTACATAAAACTGACACTTCCACACGGAAAAGCCCGAAAAGAAGGACAAAAGAATTTGCAAATCGCTGCACAGACAGGGAGCCAACCTCCCTAAAGTATGTAAGGTGCCTGCAGATCAATAAGAAAAATAGCAACAATTCAGGACAAAAATAGGCAAAAGGCAGGAACGGCACGTTCTCAGGAAAGGTGACGGAAACGATCCTCAGCCTCGAAAAGACGCCGGAGCTGGTTCCGTAACAGAAATGCACACTGAGCGGAGGCCTCTCACCTCTCAAACTGCCCGAGGGGGCAGTCTGCAAACCTGTGCCCTCTGACCCAGCGACTGCGCTTCTGGGGATGTGCCCTTCAGATGTACCTGACCCTGAACACGGAAATGCAGTACTCAGCTGCCTGTTTCTAGTTCCAAAAAGACTGGGGGGGGGGGGGGAACAAACCCATGTCCATCGAGGAGGGATGGACATGAATGGGACTCCACGGCCCTGGGAGAGGGTGGGAGCACCCCATGTGTATGTACTGACATGAGTAGGTGAAAAAGCCAGTGCAGAGCAGCATGTGGGGCCTGAGGCACCCCCCAGAGATGCAAACTCTCGCTCTCCGCCTCAAAAGACAGAGCGGACACTTCTGGGAGGCATGGTCTGAGTAGGGATAGTCATCCTTGCTTCCAAGTGAAAACCCTGAAGCTCGGGTGGGTGAGTGACCTCAGGGTTGCAGCGTAGCTTCTGCCTAAGGAAGCCCCAAGACTGATTCCTTCCAGCCTGGCATCGCCTCCTCCTGCCCTCACCCCCAGAGCCCAGGGTGCTCCTAGTCTGCATGCATGACGAGACACTGCACACGGATCCCACTTCCCGGCTGCCTGCTGGGCACACAGCTCAGCTCTCCCCTGCAGCTCTGGGCTCCGTGTGGCTGTGACACTGGCTTGTCCATGACCCAAGCTTTAGGGGACCCCTGGGCACTAGAGTCAGACAGGGGAGCTGTCCTGGGGAGGCGTGCCAAGGGTTTCCTGGGAAGATGGCCCGAGGTCCCTTTTTAAAAATATGTTTTTTATTGATTTTTTTTTTACAGAGAGGAAGGGAGATGGGTAGAGTTAGAAACATCAATGAGCCGAAACCATTTGGCTAAGTGGATAAGAGCATCGGCCTGTGGACTGAAGGGTCCGGGGTTCGATTCGGGTCAAGGGCTTGTACCTTGGTTGTGGGCACATCCCCAGTAGGGGGCGTGCGGAAGGCAGACGATTGATGTTTCTCTCTCTATCCCTCTCCCTTCCTCTCTGTAAAAAAAATCAATAGGATATATTTAAAATTTTTTAAAAAATGAAAAGAAAAAGAAAGAAACATCAATGAGAGAGACACATCGATCAGCTGCCTCCAGCACATCCCCCACTGGGGATATGCCTGCAACCAAGGTACATGCCCTTGACCGGAATCGAACCTGGGACCTTTCAGTCTGCAGGCCAACGCTCTATCCACTGAGCCAAACCGGTTAGGGCCCAAGGTCTCCTTTACTATATCTGTCCCAGCAATGCCTGGCCAGGGCTCCCTGGCCATCTGCTTCCCTGACAGGCCCAGCACAATGAGGCCAGGGTCGTCCCGGGGCGTGGGGGGAGGGGACCCCTCACCTGTCGCTCGGGTTTATGTGGCTCCATCATCTTCACCGCCTGTCCCTGCTGCACCAGGATGACCTGCGAGTCCCCCAGCCAGGCGATGTGCAGGGTCTTTCCCGCGATGAGTGCACACACGCCCGTGGTTCCACTCTGCAGTCGCTGTGGGAAGAGGTGCCGAGCGGGTGAGGGGGGCCAGGCACCGGCCCTGCAGGCACTCTCACTCCAGCCGGAAGAACCGCTGGCGGGCGCTCAGAGAGGGGAAAGGGCTGCCGATGCAGGATGGCACCGTGATGTTCCTGTTCTGCGCTTAGAGCGTCTGACGATGGTGCAGCCCCCACCCCTGATCTCCTCACCTGCTGTGTCAACTGGGGAAGGTCCACCGGGCCTCAGTTTCCCGAGGTCCAAAATGGACACATCTTGGTACCGACCCCGCAGGCTGCAGGAGAGCCAGCTGACGAGAACGCAGGTGAGGTTCAGCGCTGGGTTGAGGGGGGGGACGGGTTCTTTCTTCTTTCAGAACCAGACGTCCCATCCCTGTGTGGCTCTCACTCCCGAGGAAAGAGCATTCCCAGCAGGACACCAGCTCCTCCTGAGACCCTGCCCAGGACTAGGAGAGCCAGGGGAAGTGTGGCTGCATGTCAATCATGAGTTTTGTTTTCTGTATTTTATTTTTCTTGAGTATGTTTTTATTTGATTTCAGAGAGGAAGGGAGAGGGAGAGAGAGAAGGAAGCACCAATGATGAGAGTCATTGATCGGCTGCCTCCGTGCACGCCCCACCCTGGGGATCAAGCCCACAACCCAGGTATGTGCCTTGACCGGGAATCGAATCCTGACCTCCTGGTTCACAGATCAATGCTCAACCACTGAGCCACACTGGCCAGGTTGTTTTCTGTGTTTTATGATTTATATTTTATGATGATTTTGTTTTCTGTATTTTATGATCATTTGTGTTGGCCTTGCTAATCCCGGGGAGAATGCCCCACTCCCCTGGGACTAAAGATACCAAACGTCTCCCCCGAGAGACCCTTTCATGCACAAGCCAGCGGGTCAGGAGCCCATGTCTCGCTGGCTCCGACAGCCGGGACTGCGCCTGCAGCCCAGGGCCTGTAGGGGGGGTTCCAACTGCCTGGTCCTGAGCTTGCTGTGACTGGCTGGCCCTGCCTCACCCATGCTTCCTGTGGAGGCCACAGCCAGGCTTTCCTCTCTCCCTCTGCTTCCTGGCCCACGTGGTGCTTCCCCTGTGGCACCCTGTGGCCGGTGCATCCTCGTGGGAACTATAAGTGACCAACTCCTCTAAGTAATAGTCTTCTTTCAGGACAAACGTCTCTGTCATTTTACCATGCTTGATTAAAACAAAATCCTGGGCCCTCGCCAGTTTGGTTCAGTGACTGGAGCATTGGCCCATGGACTGAAGGGTTGCAGGTTAGATTTGATCAAGGGCACAGTCAAGGGCAAGTACCTCAGTTGAAGGTTTAATCCCTGGTCCCAGTTGCTTGGGGCATGTGTGGGAGGCAACCAATCAAAGTGTCTCTCCCACGGAGATGTTTTCCTCTCTCTCTGCCTGCCTCTCCCCGTTCCTTGCACTCTCTCTAAAAAATTCTTTGGAAAAAATATCCTCAGGTGAGGATTATAAAAATAAATAAGTAAAAGAAAACAAGACCCTGAGTCTGCACACCAGCTGCAGTGGGGCAGGTCCACGCGGCAGCAGGGCCAGGCTGCACCAGCGGCAAGCGGCAAGCTTTCTGTGGCTTCCGTTCAAACGAAAAACAAGTCCCGTTGGTTGTAAGAACGAAATGAGTCAAGAACCTCCCAGCATAAGTTCCTATCCCTCCGCAGGGCTGGGCCTCTCCGTGCTAACGGCCACCGGCCCCCACTGCCCAGGACCGGCCACCTGCCCTCACCTCTCGCTTGGCCTTCCAGAGGAACATCTCGTCGGTGCGCCGGAAAGCCGCTCTGAGGGCGCCCGCGGGGTGCGTGGGCAGCTCCGGCTGGCGGGCGGCGTTGGCGTGGACGTGCACGGCGGCGTACCTCGCGGCATCCACTCCGCCGTGGCCGTCAAACACCGCAAAGTAGGCGCGATCCACGGGGTCCTGGTTGGGAATGCAGCGGGAGTTACCGCCCTGCTGACCTCGTGCCTGGCCGAGGCTGTAACCCAGCCAACGGCTCTCATTGGGTGCTGGCCGGAGGGGTCAGGGGCTGGCCGGAGGGGTCGGGGGCTGGCTGGAGGGGTCGGGGGCTGGCTGGAGGGGTCGGGGGCTGGCTGGAGGGGTCGGGGGCTGGCTGGAGGGGTCGGGGGCTGGCTGGAGGGGTCGGGCGCTGCCTGGAGGGGTCGGGGGCCGGCCGGAGGGGTAGGGGGCCGGCTGGAGGGGTCGGGAGCTGCCTGGAGGGGTCAGGTGCTAACTGGAGGAGTCAGGTGCTAACTGGAAGGGCTCTGAGAGATGTCCAGCACCTCGGCCTGCAGACGGAAGCTGTAGGCATCACTCCTGCCTCGGCCCTGGTGGGAAGGTCTACGGCACCCGGAGTGGTACCCCACCCGCTGTCCCTGTGCAAGCCCTCAGGCCGTCCTGTCCGGAGCCAGGACAGGGGCCTCCGGAGCCGCCCCGGGGCCCGGGAGGCGGAGCCCGGGCGGTGGGGCACTCACGGTCAGGCCGAAGAGCTGGTTGAAGGCAGGAAGGCACACGTGCCGGTCCTCCATCCTGCGGCGAGTGTTCCGGATGGCGTGAACGGAGACCAGCCGCTGCCGCTGCGGAGCCCGGGCAGCCGGGGGCACCTGCTTCTGCCACTGGCTGCAGACGTCCCAGAGCCGGTTGAAGAAGCTCAGCGCCAGGCCCTTGGCATCCAGCACTGACGGGTAAGACGGAGGGCGGTCAGGAAGCACCAACGCAGGCCCGCCAGCCCTCTGCTCGCTCTCCCTGCCTCACCCCCATCCTGTGGTCTCTGCAGCTCTCCAGACAGCCCCGCCACAGGCCTGCACAGGCCCGGCCCGTCCAGCCCGTCTCCCCCGGGGCACACGGCCTGACAAACGACGTGTGACAACCTGTGTCATCAGCAGCGGGAAGTGTCTGGCCCGGCCCCACGGTGGGACACGTCCTCTCACGGAGCACCCCCACCCAGAGAAATAGCCAGCAATGCAGGTGACTTAAGAACAGGGTACAGGATCACTGTATAATTCTGCACTAATTAGAAACAATATATATTCATGACGGAGTAAATTCTGGTCTGTTCTCTGTGAATTAAGCTGCTATTAAAAATGATTTTTGCAAATTAGCATGTAATTGCCACTGACCCAGCAACTGCACCCCTGGGCATTCATCCCAGAGAAATTAAGACGATGCTCACACGCAATGTGTGCCCGATTGCTCAGTGCTCACAGCAGCTTCACGTGTGACGGGTGGAAACCGATTCGGCATGGGTGTCCTTCCGGGCGTGGACAGCTACACAAACGTGGGTGCCTCCTGCCACGGAAGACCACTCGGCAGGAGGAGGAAGGGGGGGAGCTACTGGCACACACAGATACCCGGATGTATCTCCAGGGAATTATGCTGAATGAGAAGAGCCAATCCTCAGAAGTTATATACTGTGTGGTTCCACTTCTATGCATTCTTGAAATGACGAAGTTATAGAATAGAGACCATTAGTGGTTGCCAGGGTGTGTGTGTGTGAGGGGTGTGTGGGTGGGGGGTGGAGGGGTGTTAGGGTGGCATACATTAGAACTGGAGGGAGTCTTGTGGGTCAGGATCCTGGCCATATTTCAGGAGTTTTGTAGAGACGTTACCGTTGGAAGGAACTGGGTAAAGGATGCCTGAGAACCCCATGTGTTATTTCCTATAACTGCATGTGAGGCTAGGGTTCTCTCAAATAAAGTTTAATTTAAAAAAGCAAACTAAAGGGGAAAACAAAAATGGACTTTTACGGAGTTTGTAAGCACGTAAAATGCTTACATCATGATAGAAAAAAAAAACACTGATATTAAAGAAAATGTTGTGAAGAAAAGAGGATAGAAAGTTCCATATTGAGTATGTGATAAAGTCTCCTACCACCGGCGCCCAGAAATACAAGGCAGCCACAGCCGGCGCACAGCCACAGCCGGCAGAGGCTCGCTACGGGGGTGGTTTATGGGCGATTTTTTTCTTACGTACACCTTTTTAGTGCTTTCCCCATTTATCATCACAGGTGTCAGTCCCAGGTGTTGGCTTTAAAATACATCTATAAATGCTTCGACACGACTCCCTTCAAGAGCGGGGGGACCTCAATTCCTCCCCCTGAGCGTGTAACTGAGTGACCTGCTTCCGATGAAGATGATAAAACCAAAGTGAGCGTGAGTGGCCTCAGATCCTAGGTCCTAAGAGGCCCTGCAGCTCCCACCCCGTGTGCCCGGTCCTTCTCACCGTCACCCTCTCTTCCTCTGTCTCCCTGTGAATCACTGCCATGTCGCGAGGATGCTCACGCAGCCCTGTGGGGAGTCCACATGGCGTGGAACTGAGACTTCCTGACAACAGCCGTGTGATTGAACCATCTTGGAAGCAGAGCCTCTGCCCGCACTGGCCTTCGTCCGACCTCATGAGAGACCCTGGGCAAGATCTACCTGCTCAGTTGTTCCCAAATTCCAGCCCCTCAGAAACTATCCTATACAATAAAGAGGTAATATGCAAATTGACCCTCATGCCATCGCACAAGATGGCCGCCCCCATGTTGTCAAAGATGGCCACCATAAGATAGCCAGCAGGGGAGGGCAGTTGTGGGTGATCAGGCCAGCAGGGGATGGCAGTTGGGGGTGACCAGGCCAACAGGGGAGGGCAGTTAGGGGCGACTGGGCCAGCAGGGAAGGGCAGGGGTGACAAGGCTGGCAAGAGAGGGCAGCTGGAGGCAACCAGGCCTGCAGGAGAGGGCAGTTAGGGGTGACCAAGCCAGCAGGGGAGGACAGTTAGGGGTGACCAGAATGCAGGGGAGGGCAATTAGGGGTGACCAGGCTGGCAGGGGAGGGTAGTTGGGGATGACCAGGCCTGCGAGAGAGGGCAGTTAGAGGTGACCAGGTTGGCAGGGGAGGGCGATTGGGGCCAATCGGGCCAGCAGGGGAGCAGTTAGGCGTCAATTAGGCTGACGGGAGTGGTTAGGGGGTGATCAGGCTGGCAGGCAGGCGAGTGGTTGGGAGCCAGCAGTCCCGGACTATGAGAGGGATCGGGCCTAACCTGTCAGTCGGACATCCCCCGAGGGGCCCCAGATTGGAGAGGGTACAGGCTGGGCTGAGGGACATCCTCCCATACACAGTGCACGAATTTCATGTACCAGGCCTCCAGTGGGATAATAAATGTCTACTGTTTGAGGTCACTAATGTTGGAGCAATGTTATGCAGCAACAGGTAACAGCACCTACAATATAGATTTTAAAACAAAAATCCAAGTCCTACCGAAGCCTGGCTCTAAAGAAGAAAAAATGAACAATGGGCAGGTGCAAAGGAAACCTCAGGTGCTTCACCCCGGAGACCCAGTTCATTCTGCTGCACAGACCCCTCCTGAGACCCCTGCTGGCCCAGGGGCTGGAGGCAGGCGAGGATAGCGGCCCCAGGGCAAGCCACCGGGGACAGGGCAGACTCAGGGACGCCACGGGCCACACCCGAAGGGTTTGGGGAGCTGGAGAAGCAGCAGCGCGTGCCTCACGGCAGTGGCTACAGAAGGAAAGAAGCAGGGCTGAGCCGAGACCGGTTTGGCTCAATGGGTAGAGCGTCGGCTTGGGGACTGAAGGGTCCCGGGTTCGATTCCGGTCAAGGGCATGTACCTTGGTTGCGGGCATATCCCCAGTGGGGGGTGTGCAAGAGGCAGCTGATCGATGTCACTCTCTCATCGATGTTTCTAACTCTCTATCTCTCTCCTTTCCTCTCTGTACAAAATCAATAAAATATCTTAAAAAAAAAAAAAAAAAAAAAAAAAAAAAGGAAGCAGGGCTGAGGCCAGGGGAAGACATGTCCGAGGAAATCCTCGCATTGGGGGTGCCTGGAATTGGCCACTGCCACCACACCCATTCAGCATCTGTCAAGAACTGGGTTGCGTCAGGTCAGAAACACCCAGGGAGACACAGCACCGTTTACTCTCTTGCCTTAGGTCACGCTAGTGTTTTTGTCGTCAACGTGTTGAAACTTGAATCTTGGCTCCGGCAAAGGGCAATTACCGATAAGAATGATAAGCTGTGGGGAGGCTCGCCTGGCCCACACACTCTTAGGCTGCTCACAGGTCTGCCTGCTTTCTGGCACCCACAGGCACCGCTCCCTGGCGAGGGGCAGCCGGTGCTCCACCTGACTCGGTGGCACAGAGGTCTCAGTCACTTCTCTGCCCTTGGGTGATGTCTCTCCTGACACCCACAGATAGCCCTCACTAAGCCCCACTCCCATGACAGGGATGGCGGGCGGATTCAGGCAGGGACGCCAGGCCTGCATGGGCGCGAGAGCCCCCACGTGGAGGTCTCTGCCGCTGTCAGACGCTGCACTGCTCCTTCCCCGCCAACAGGTGGCGCTGGCTTCCTGCCGGAACTCGGGCGAGGCGGGGCCTGTAGGCTCTGCAGAGGACAATGGCTGCCTGTCTCAGGCCTCTGGTGGGGGCCAGAGGAGGTTGTGCTGGGATGGCTGGGGGGCAGGGAACAGGGGGAAAGAGCCGGGGACCAGGACAGAAGGGCCTGGCGCTACTGCGGGAACAGGCTGTCTGTTTTCCTCTCTTTTCCGGGCCTGTTCCTGGCTTTGCCCTCAGTGCTCCCTCTCATGCTGAGACAGGCATACCTTGTTTTATTATGCTCTGCGTTACTGTGTGCTTGTCAAATGTTGCATTTTTTTTAATAAACCGAAGGCAAGATCATTCCCCAACCCCAGAAAAAGATTAGGACTTGCTCTATAGCGGTGGCTGGAATCTAATTCTCCGTGTCTCGGAGGTGTGCCTGTAATTAAGTGATGTGAGGGAGGTGCTAGTGAAAGCACTGCATAAATGAACCAAATCAACACACTGTACGCCTTAAACTCACACAGTGAGTTTACATCAATTGACATGTGTCAATCACATCTCAATTAAAAACTAATAAAATAACACGGTCAGATAGGAAACGGCAAAGGAAGAAGAATCTGCTGAGGCCTCAGAACCCACTCCATCTTCTGCATCCCACTGGCTCCAGCCCTGCCTGCGGCCAGAGCTGCCCCGTTTCCTGGGAAGCGTGGAGCCACCGCGAGCTGGCCCGCAGCCCGGCCCACCGCGCAGCCCGCCGCAGGCCACGGCCCAGCAGCCCTGGTTTGCTGTGGTTCTGGTCTGACCCGAGCGGGTACTAGGGTGAAATGTGATAGACAGGAATGACGAGGAACATGAAAGGAAGACATGCAAAGTAAGAGCCCTGCCTCTTCAGGAGAAGGCTCACTCTTTGTCTTGGGTCCCTCTTTAAAATAAATAAATAAATAAATAAATAAATAAATAAATAGATATATATATATATATATACACACATATATATAAAATTGACTTTTCACAGAGAGGAAGGGAGAGGAATAGAGAAGCTAGAAGCATCAATGAGAGAGAAACATCGACCAGCTGCCTCCCACACACCCCCCACTGGGGATGTGCCCGCAACCAAGGTGCATGCCCTCGACCGGAATCGAACCTGGGACCCTTCAATCTGCAGGTCGACGCTCTCTCCACTGAGCCAAAGCGGTTTTGGGTCAGGTCCCTCTTACTGCATGGCGTGGGCCACCCCGCTGACCACTGTCCAGGAGGAGGCTGACTCCCCAAGCTCGCAAGGGAACCCACTGCATCTCCACGCCCAGGCCAGGGGCCCAGCTCTGGCATTCCCTCTCCCTGGACATCAAGGCTGCCTCTGGGCCCACTCCCACGTCATCGCAGGGCAATGAGGTCGGTGAGGCAGGACAGAGCGTGGCCGAGCAGCAGGACCTCGGCGTCCTCCGCTGTGACACGGGCCACACACACACCGTTCACCCGGCTGTTTGGAAGCCCGGCGATGGCTGGGGGTGCTCGCTCTGCATCTTATGCCCCTGCCTCGTCCTGAGCCCACGCACACAGCCACGTGCTGCCACGCCGCCTTCCCACCAGCACACGGCAAAGGCCTGGAGGCCAGGGGAGCCCTGCCTTCTCCCGCCCTGGTGCTCGCCGGCAGCCTGTCCCTTGTCTGGCTGGCAAGCCAGCTGCCTGCTGAGCCTGGGGTCCCAATAAAGAGAACTCACGGGTCACAGCGGCCTTTTCCTCCTCCGCTTCCTCGCCGTCCTCCTCCTCCTGCCTGGGCAGCTTCCTGAACTCGGAAAGGTCCGTCCGCAGCAGCTGGGAAACGGCTTCGTGGGCCAGCGATGCAGCCAGGGGCGGCGGGGCGTTCCTGGGTCGGGAGAGACGTGAGCTGGGCTGGCGCCTCGGCAGAAGCCAGCGTCAGAGGGGCCCTCAGGCCCCTTCCGCCCAGGGAAGCCCCGCAGGAGGCGGCAACACTACGTGCACCCCAACCGGGGGCCACACCAGCAGGTCAACCTCCTGTCCTTGGGGAGCCGACGTCCACGTGACGCCCTTTCCTGGGGCCTGTGCTGCTCCAGACGTGGGCTGGCTGGGGCGGGGGGCGGGGGTGTCACAGACTGGCCTCCACGGCCAGGCCAGACCAACTGTCCAACGTTCAGTCTGATGACAGGTGCCTGGTCATCATTACTAGCTGGGGACCTCTGGGAGTTAGAGAGCTTATGGGTTGAACTGTGGCCTTCAAAATACATAGATTGAGTTCTAATCCCCAGGGCCTAAGAATGTGATCTTGTTTGGAAATAAGCTGGTTGCAGATGTAATTAGTTAAGATGAGGTCACCCCTAATCCAGTAACATTGGTGTCCTTATCGAAAGGGGAAATTGGGACATAGACACACACACACACACACACACACACAATGCTGTGAGGATGAAAGCAGGGACTGGAGTGATGAACCTACAAGCCAAGGGCGGCCAACAACCACCAGAAGGAACCAGCCTTGCTGGCACCTTGATCTTGGGCTTCCAGCCTCCAGAACCGAGACAACACATTACTGTCGGTTAGGGCGCCAAGCCTGTGGTCCCTCATCACGGCCTCCCCAGAAAACAAACAAACAAAAGAAGGACCGAGGGATCCTTGGGCTGTGCTTAGAAGGCTGGGCGGTGCATGGCCCAAGGGGTCCCTGGCCCATCAGAGCAGCTGGTACAAGGGGCGGCTGGGGGTAGGGGGGCAGGTGTCAGAAAACGGGGAGCCATGACCTCGGTGAGCTTTGAAGAGGGACGTGCCTGATGGGCTGGGCCTCTCTCTGGCCTCCCCCTCAGGGTGAACTGAAGGGTAAACACTGCGAGGAATATTCTGGAAGGCAAGACTTGTTGAGTGCTGCGACAATCCCAGCCAGCCCCCCAAGTTCAGAACTGTGGGGAGGGCGCGGGCAGGCGCGGGAAAGCCAATGGAGGGAGGAGATGGGACTTGGGGCTCAGGAAGAGGGATGAGTAAGTGGCAGCTCCTAGGAAGTCATGGGGATGAAGAGACTGAGGCCAGTGGGGAAGGACTAGAGAATTCTGCCATGAGACACTTTCCCACGCCTGCCTGCCTGCCCAGCCTCCCACACCATGTTCCTGGCAAGCCCTTCGTGGCTCCCCCAGACACAGGGGTCGCCACCCCAGGTACCCCACAGCCTTAAGAATATATCTTGCCCTAGCCGGTTGCTCAATGGTTAGAGCATCGGCCCAAGGACTGAAGGATCGTGGGTTCTATTCCAGTCAAGGGCACGCACCTTGGTTGCAGGTTCGATACCCTGGCCCCATGTGCGGGGGCACATGCAGGAGGCAGCCAATCGATGTTTCTCTCTCATATCAGTGTCTCTCTTCCTCTCTCTCTCTCTCCCACCTTTCCACTCTCTAAAAATCAACGGGGGGAAAAAACAACTACCCTGGAGTGAGGATTAACAAAACAAAATAAAGAACATATCCTGCTGAGGCCGGTTTGGCTCAGTGGGTAGAGTGTCAAAGAGTCCCAGGTTCAATTCTGGTCAAGGGCGTGTGCATTGGTTGCGGGCATATCCCCGCTAGGAGGTGTGCAGGTGGCAGCTGGTCGATGTTTCTCTCTCATCCATGTTTCTGGCTCTCTATCCCTCTCCCTTCCTCTCTGTAAAAAATCAATAAATTATATATTAAAAAAAAAAGAATATATCCTGACCCCAGAATCTGCCTCCTCACCAGTGGGAGCCCCTTGCAGGCTGGAGGACGTGTGTTCACCCCTCTGCGCCTTTCCCTGAGGCCTGGGGACCCCGGTCCAGGGCGGGCGGGCGGCCTGTGGTTCTCTGCTGGGCTGACAACACGGGGCTTCACCTGGAGGGCAAGGCCCTCCCACAGCCTGGCGGACGGGTCATGTCCCTTTGGGGCCGGGCACCTGTGATGTCTACAGACGACCTCAGGAATCTGCCCGGATGAATGAGAGGGCGGCTCAGGGGGAGGAGCCTCTGGCACTCACTGCCTTTGAAAAACCACCGGTCAAGACATGAGAAATGAGTTCCTCTGCTATTTGGGGATTTCCTGCCCCCCGCCGGGTTTTCCTCTTTCAGGGCAGGGAGAAGGGGCGGCTGCTCCCGGGAGGCCGAGCTGCGCCCTCCTGCAGGCCCTCTGAAGTCCCGCTGAGCCGGCCACCGAGCTTCCTTCCGGCCGTGGGGACCCAGACAATGCCTGGCCACGGGCCAGGGGCTCGCTTCCTGGGTGCCCCTCCCGCCTCTCCAGGGGTCCCCGCCCCCCACACTCTCAAGGCTCTGAGGCCCCGAGTCAGTCCGGGCTGCTAACACAAGCTGCAGTGAAGGGACAGGTATGTGTGTGCAAGGACCAGCAGACCTCTGGGAGCCCTCCCATCTCCCACCCCCCGAGCACCCGTCCAGCACCCTCAGGTCCCAGGCCTGCTCCGCCCTACCTGCCTCTAAAATATTTCCTCAAAGCCAAACCCGCTGGCAACCTCCTCTGCACACGCCATCCCGAGGGACACCGTCGCTGGGCCTTCTCTCCTAAGCTCTGTGGGACCAACCGTGGGGGATGCTGGGATGGACGTGGCCCGGAAGCCGGCCCACAACTGAGGCCTTTGTGCTCAGCAACCCAGGCTCCCGCACAGCAGAGCGGGCAGTTCACTGGGGGGCGGGGGTGGGGTGGGGTGGGGAATGGAGCTGACCTGTCACACAGGAAGCACATGGAGGCCAGGGCCGGGTCCTGATTCAGGAGTGAGGCAGAGACTTAGGGACTCTGGGTGTGGTCCCTCAAGGAAGGATGAGGGTCACAGGCCATAAGCCTCACCCTATCCTCCCCATTCCCCCCCCCGCCCTCCGAGATCTGCTAACTGGCTGTGCTCCCTTTCTGTGGCTCAGCTTCCTCGCCTGTGAGACGGGGGAACCGCCACCACGCTGCTCGGTGGGGCAGCGTGGCCTGCATGCTGGGCACATGGCCAGGTCCTGCCTCAACATGGAGGCCCCGGCCAGTCTCCTAGCCCGTCTGGCCTCTGTCTCCCCATCTGCAAAACGGGACAGAAATAGGGCCTGCTGCTTAGCACCTGTCACGAACTGAATCGTGCCCTCCAGAAGGATATGCCAGAGTCCCAACCTGCGGTGGCTCAAGGTGTAACCTTATTTGGAACCAGGGTCTTTGCAGGTCAGACTGGGGCAGGGTGGGCCCCACGTCCAGTGGACTGGCACCCTTACAAGAAGGAGACGCACAGAGAGACAGGGAGAGACGCCGTGTGCAGACAGACACACGGGAAGATGCCATGTGGCGACGAGAGCCAGACTGGAGCGGCCTGTCTCCAGGCGAGGCACTCCAAGGACAGGAGCCACGAGAAGGGATGGAGCAGGTCCTGGCTGACAGCCTGTCTGAGAGCATCCCTGCTGACATGGATCTCTCACCTCCAGCCTCCAGAGCTGGGACAGCACATCTGTGTGCTCTAGGCCACGGAGCCCGTGGTGCTCCGACACGGCTGCCCTTGGACCAACACGGCGCTGTCATGGGGATTCGCACAGGGAAGGATGTGTGGAGGGGAATGCCAGGTTCAAGGCCGGCCTGCCTGCGGCCCGTGCCATGCCCCTCCCTCCTGTCCCGCGCTGTCCTCGCCCGGTGGGTGGGTGCACGGCCTACCTGCTGCTCAGGAAGCCCACGGCCAGCTCGGCCAGCTCGCCCTCCACCTCCTCCTGGCTCAGCACCGTCCCCGGGATCTTCCACAGCAAAGTGCTCTCCGCGCTCAGCGGGGCCGGGAAGTCGCGGAGAAACTCGTCCAGGAAGCCGGGCGTCTCCTCTGCCATCTGGCCGCTCTGCTCTGGGGCTCCAGAGGCCATGCCCAGAGCATCCCGGGGGGCCTGTTGCCAAGGTTCCAGGCAGGCTTCACTCTAGGGAGAGACAGGAGGGTCAGCAAGAACAGGAAGCACTTGGTGCCCTGCTGGGGGGGGGGGTCTTCGGGCCCCGAAGTGCCGATACCAGGTCTCCGGCACCTCCGGGCGTCAGACAGCAGGTGTCACACCACGCCCGGGGCTCAGGGCGGGAGGGCAGGGCCACCCAGTTTCCCGCCCAGCTCAGGGGGCCCAAGTAAGCCGGAGGCACAACCCAGGCTGGTCTGATCTGAGAGGGATGCGGAAAGCGGCTTCAGGGGAAGGAGCCCGGAGCAGCAACTGCATGGATGTCCTGAGGAGGCTGCGTTACTGGCAGAGATGGCCAGTAGTGGGCAGCAGAGGGAACTGGGACCAGGCCACTGAGGCAGGTCAATGTGGCAGGTGAGGGGGTCCAACTTGACCTTAGGGCCCTGGGCATCCGGGGGGTGAGGCAGTGATGGAACCAGGTCTGTGAGCCTGAAAGTGGTACCCAGAGGGGTGGGTGAAGGGTCACCTGTTGGGGAAGGAAAGGACCTGGGCAGGGTGGTGGCAGAGCCCACTTGCAGGAGAGAGCTGGCCCTGGGCCGCTGCAGAAGGCACCAGGCTGTGGGGTGCCCAAGGGCGTGGCAGGAGGGAAGAGAGGATTAACCAGGACAATCAGGGGAGTCTGGGATGTGGGCACCCTGGTAAGTTCTCTCCATCAGCTGGCAGGCAGGCACAGGCCACCGACCCGCCTGTCCCGGGCATGGCTCCAGCCTCCAGGGCCCTCCTCCCAGCAACCTCAGGAAGGCAGAGGGCTTCCCGGCTCCAGCCCGTGCATTCCCTGACACACTCCTGGGAGCCAGGACCAGCCCCCATTCCACGGGTGGGAACCCTGAAGCTTGGGGAGGGGCAGTCCTTGGCCCGAGAATAGATGATGGGGTCACGGGGGGATTCTGGAGCCCACGCTCATCTTCCCTCCCTTCCCTCACACCCCACTTCTCTCACGTCTGGAAGGTGTCACTCACCCCCATCTGTCCCCCCAATGAGGGACTCCGGCTCCTCTCCCCCAGCTGAGAGCCGCCCTCTCCACCTCAAACCCGGCCCCTCCCTCCCTCCTTCCCCAGCCTGTGTGGCTGTTTGTATGCCAGCAGAGGCCCTGTCTGTCAGACAACCCATGGCCCCAAGGGTCCACTGGACTCCCGCCTCCTACTCACAGCCCTCCAGAACCAAACAGTCCCATAGGTCTCCACCCCCTGCCCCCAGGGTCACCCTGTGCCCCTCCCTTCATAACACGCACACCTGGGTAGGCACCTCCCACCGCCACCTGCTCCTACAGGCTGGCTCCTCACTCTTGCCCCTTGCACTCTTCCTCTCCTTAGCATCTAGGCTGGGAGACTTTCTCTGGGAATGAATTCCACAAATTTATCCCCCAGAAAAATAGTATTTCTTCTTCTTCTTTTAATGTATTAATTTTGAGAGAGAGAGAAAGAGAGACATTGATGTGAGAGAGAAACATCGATTGGTTGACTCCTACCACACGCCCAACCAGGGACTGAACCCACACACCTGGTATGTACCCTGACCGGGAGGGAATCGAACCTGCTACCTTTCAGTGCACGGGGCGACACTCACAGCAGCCTGGGCAAGAGTTAATTTTTAAAAGCAGACACACAGAAATAATGTAGAGCCCTAACCGGTTTGGCTCAGTGGATAGACCATCGGCCTGCGGACTGAAGGGTCCCAAGTTCGATTCTGGTCAAGGGCATGTACCTTGGTTGCAGGCACATCCCCAGTAGAGGGGTGTGCAGGAGGCAGCTGATTGATGTTTCTCTCTCATCGATGTTTCTCTCTATCCCTCTCCTTTCATCTCTGTAGAAAGTCAATAAATACAGTAAAAGAAAGAAAGAAATAATGTAGAAATGGGGCCATGTGTGATAGGACAGACTTAAGTTCATTGTTACCCTTCCATTTACTCATTAGTAGAAGCAGATACAGTGCAACCCCAGATTACAAAGGCAAACGGTTAAAAGCTCACGAGTGTAAACTAGCGAAGGGAGACCGCTGCATTGCAACCACCATGGTAAGACTGTGCAACGGGGCGGTCAGGAAAGTCTGGGGTCAGGAAAGCGGGGTGGTGAGGGTCAGCTTGGGAGGAGGACGGCCAGCCAGGCCGCCCCGCCAGGGCCACAGATACAAGAATCAAGCCGACAAGGCGACAGCAAGCGTTTCCCAGCAGGCTTGGCCACCTTCGGGCAGAAGGTTCCGGCCTCCTGTTGCTTAGAGAAGAGAAATAAGTGGAAGGCCAAGCTGCCCCAAGCAGCACCGAGTGTCCCGGGTCGGGCTGGGAAAGGCTGAGCCCAGAAACAAATACTCCGCAGGATCCGAACAACGAGGCAGCGTCCTCACTGACCTCCCGGGAGGCGCAGGAGGGCCCCCGTTGGAGAGCCCTGGCCCAGCCCCAGCATGAAGGACAGAGTTCAAGGCCCTTGGCCTTCGACCTCACTCGCTGGTGGTGGCGCTGCTGGACGTTCGGTAATGCGGGAGCCTCCTGGCCTTGGGGTACCGTTTTCTATGCCAGGAACCCTCTCCCCTCCCGAGAGCCAGTTTCCCTTGGGGTTTCAGGGGCCCGTCTCTCTGCACCGCAGCCCTGCAGACCTGGTCTCTGCCTCAGCCCTGCTCACCGCACAGGGGGCTGTGGTCGTGTGCCCTGTGCCCAGTGCCCCGCCTCCAGGGTCCGGTGTGGGCCTGGACAGCAGCCTGGGGGGGGGGGGCGGTCCAGAGGGCTAGGCAGCACAGGGTCAACGGGGTTGGCCTGCAGCCCGGAGTGCGGGCTGGCTTACTCTGAGGCCTGCACCAGCTCCGCTCCTTCGCCACGCAGGTGGGTGGCCCAGAGCCGCCCTGCCTGCTGTGTCTGCATCCCCCGGAGGAGGCGAGACGCAAGGAGAGGAACCAGGACACGGTTTCCGTTCGGTTCTCTCGGGCCCAGCTGGTTTGTGACACACGAGTAATTTCCTTCCCAAACGAGTAATTTCCTTCCCGGCCCTTCCTTTTTTTCAACAAACTCCCGGCTCCATGTGACTCCATGTGCTGGAGTCACATGGATATGAGCAAAACAATCCCAGCCTTTGGGAGCCTGGGGCCTAGAGATAACGGATGAAGAGGGGGGGGGGGGGAATGAGGGGTCGGGTGTCAAGGAACTCCTAACCCAAAGGGGGACCCAGAGGTGGCCCTGGGAAGGCCGGGAGGACGATGCTGTGGCCCTGAGCTCTCAGGGGACCGACCGAGGAGACAGTCTCCGGAACCACGCAGGCCCAGGCGCAGGCCCAGGCCAGGCCCAGGCCCAGGCCAGGCCAGGCCAGGCAGCGCAGGGTGAGGCGGCACTGAGGCTGATGCAGGGATGTTCATGGGTGTGTGTAAGTCACCAAAGATCCGGGGTGAGCATGGAAGGATACTGAGCCTCCAGCCCCCAGAGCCACCTGCTCAAACAGTCCGGCAAAAGCTGGCTCCTGAAATGACGCCCCTCTGCACCGAGTGACCGAGTGACCTTGCTGCCGGCTAACATCCGCCCACAGGTGCATCAGCTCCCAGCTCCCTGCTGTCCCTGCTTTATACAGGCGGGACCTGCAGCATGAGGGCCAACTAACTTGCCCAATGTCCCCCCATGGGGTTCGTGACCACTGGCCCCAAGTGCAACGGAAACCCCGCCCATCCTGCCTCGGCCAGCAGCCCCGACTCCGCCTCTCTCATGGCCCCGTTCTCCATCTCTGTGCCCCTGGCGCGGGCCCCGCCCTCACCTCCGTGCTCCGGGGCCTGGCTGGAGGGCGGTGTTCCATTTTGCCTGGAGACCTCTCTAACCCAAACGCCACCGAGGCCCGGCCCTCTGCCTTCTGTGGCTCCAGAACACGGCTTGCTGGCAGCCGGCTTGTAAAAAGTCCGTTTTCTCCCCATTTAAAATAGCGACTCTCCTCTAGTTCACTCGTTTCAACTCATAAGCTCAACGAACACTTATTTGTACAACTGCAATTTTTCTAGGTCTGGACAAAATTCTTGTTGAGTCCTGCTTGACTTCAGAAACCTCATGGGGGGGGGGGGGAGATAGCAATCTTCAGAAAGGGGAATCGCATCACGGTTACAAAACGAATCTTCTTTCTTTACTTCTGACATATTATTGGAAGAGTTTGTAAATGCATCCAGATCTTTTCATATAGATCACACACACACACAGTGTATATATACATAAATATATGTAATCTGTATATATATATATATAAACTTTGTGGTAAAACATATACAACATATAACTGACCGTTCTACCCATTTTTACGGGAAGTTTTGTGGCATTGTTGAGCAACCACCACTTTCACAGGCTTGGCCTCCTCACTAGATCGTAAGCTCCCCGAGGTCAGGAAGCCCACCCCGCCCCCTCAGGGGCTAACACTGCTCTGTGCAGCCCGCAGGTGTGAGGGCAGCGGGAGGGGCCTGCCTCCTGCCACCACCAGCGGGTGGAGTGGGCTGCGAGGTGCGGCCTGAGGCCGGGAACCTTCGCAGAGAAAGCTGAAACCCTCCGTGGGACACAGACATGGCGGGCAGCGGAGAAAGGCTTTTAAGGCAGGGCTGGCATCCGGCGGGATCTCAGAGGAATTCTCCGAAGGAACTCGTGTGGAGGCTGATTGCTTTCACGGCGGCGTCTGTTTGTTTACCTCTGACCGCTAAGCAGAAAGCACAAGCCACATGGCGGGCGAAGAAACAGGCTCAGGGACGGTGAACAGCCCCCTGAGGTCCCTGGGATCAAAGATGCCCTTACTCCTTATTCTAGTTCCACCTGGGCTGCAGGAGGAGAGTGAAACCTGACAACGGGCCGGACATGAGCATAAAGGCCAGAAGGGAGCGGGCCATGGCCTCAGAGTGAGTGCCGGCCCTCAGAGTGTCTCTGGCCAAGTGGGAGCACAGCTGGGAGCACAGCTCCACCCAAAGACGGGGCCGGGGAT